GCCGAGCCCTGTGGAGACGACTCCGATCACCTGGTAGCGGCGCTCTATTCCAGTGGTTCTGTACACCAGAGGCCCCCCCGAGTCGCCCTGACACGCGTCCTTGGACGTTCCGTCGGCGCTGTTGGCGCACAGTTTGGTGCCCTGAAATCCGCCGGGGAAGTCGCGGTCGAACGTCAATAGGTGCTCGTACGCCTGCTCGCAGCGACTGACGTTGACCACGCGCAGCCGCGCCTCGTGCAGTACGCGCGACACCTTGCCCTGGAACTCTGTGTGCCCCCAGCCGGCCAGGTCGACCGGCCGGCCCGTGTGGTCCGCATGGCCCGGCGGCAGGCAGGCCGGCTTGATCTGCCGGCTGATGGGCACCGGCCGGCCCAGGTGCAGCAGCGCCAGGTCGTTGTGCTTCCGCCGGTAACGCGGGTGGACGACGATGCGCGCCACCGGCACGTTCACGTGTTTTCCATCGCGGGTCGTCGAGAGGTCGTACTCGCCGAGGCGGACCTTGAGGTCTGCCGGCTGCCGACCGTCCACGCAGTGGGCCGCCGTCAGCACGGTACGGGCCGAGATGAGCGTGCCGCCGCACGTCCAGCGGCGCTGTCCGTTGACCCGCTCTCCGAGCAGAGCCATCCACGGCCAGCGGCCCTGCTCGAGCTCGGCCGTCTGGCCGTTGATCTCGAGGGAGCGGCGGCGGCGGCGGCGGCGGGGGAAGAGCTGTGACAGCGGGTAGCAGACGTCCTGCGGCAGCACCACGTCACCGCACTCGGGCACCAGCTGCCAGTCGCTCCAGCGCTGGAACAGCTTGGGGCCGCGCGCCGCCCGGGTGGCGGCCGTCAGCGCCAGCGCCAGCGCCAGCACCAGCGCCAGCGCCGCGCCCGCGGGCGTCATGGCCAGCCTCCTGGGGGCGACTGGTGCCGGCCGGCGGCACCGTCGGCACCCAAACCGGCGCGGAAAGTCGCCGCCGGGTCACGGAAACAGACGGACACAACCGGACACACAAGGCCATCGAGGCGCGACCCTCGGCCTTTGTGTCGTCTTCATTATGTGAACCGTCATGTGCGGTTTGATGTCTACCGTTATATATAACCAGGCCAAAAAGAATGGGGACATAATGCATCCAGGGATTCCTTGAGTACGTATGGGGACTGAAATGTGTTAATCCTCTTTATTTACTTGACTACACAACTGTTTGTACTTTTCAGTCTCCTGTTGGTTAGTTTGTCATAATCAGTTGTGCAATTTTCGAGGAAAACAATGCTTGATATGCTCGTTATCACAAGAAATTCGGGGACTGAAAACTTCCTCGAACTCATCAACTACATTCTCCGATATAACCACATCGTCAACTTTCGTTGATGCTCGGTTTGACTGCAAACTGGACAAGGTGTCATGATGGAGTGACTGAAGTGAAACCTCGCTACATTTGGCGTGGGAAGTCAGTAGTCGTCAATTATTTAGCAACGTATTGGCCTGAAAAGAACCGTCACGGACCAAATTCTTATTGGGACATCTCACACATTGCCCCAAAAGACGGTAAATAACTTTTGAAAATACCCATCTCCAATGTAAGTGTTTTATGAACCAAGATTTTGCAAGGGATCTGATGGTGTGGTTCTCGAATTCTGAAAAACTTCCAGGAGAGTTTTACTTCCTATATCTCTGGTATGGATGGGACTTAGATTAAGACCTTCCTTAACCCGCGCCCCGTAGGGGGGGGCCGAAACGGCCCCCCCTGTCCTTTTTGGTCGATATCTCCTAAACGGCTGGAGATATCGCCACCAAACTTTCAGGACCCTTCCGGGCATCAATTTTACACATTGTGACCAAAAATTTTTCCAGAGGCTATGATAGGTTGGCCACAAATGACGTCAGAGTGACGTCATGTTCTGTCATTTTCGACCGAAAAAAGACCTTCGCGAGAAGACCTGTCAGGACTACAGCTTTGAAGATACAGAAAAATGATCAAGACATAAAAGGTGTAGAATTGACAGGGCTACAAAACTGCTATCTCGAATTTTTGAAATTTTTGAGTTTTGACCCCCAAAAATCAAAAAAGCATTTTTTTGATATATTCGCCAAAAAATCCAAAAAGTTTTTTGAGTTTCGAAAAAAACCGGAATATATGTGATAGTGCCTACCGTCTTCTATCTACATACCAAATTTCAGATCGATACCTCGTTTTTTGGCCAAGTTATAGCGAAAAAACTGTTCAAAAATGATGACGTCAAATTTTCAAACTCAATTTTTGGCAATTCTAGAACTCGTAGAGCAAAACGAAGACCACCATTAGACTCCCCGTGACGAGCTGCATCGAATCGATACCCATTTTATGCAAAAATATCAACTTTGAAATTTGACCTAATTTGACCTGACCTTGACCTGACCTTCACAAAAACGTGACCTAGGCTGGCCCCAAAGGCTGCCTAACCCACATAATCGCATTTGTCATGTAAAATGGACCATAAAACATGTATCACACGACACATTCATATTGTGACCCCCGGTGACCTGACCTCGCTGTGACCTGACCTGGTATCAGTGACCTCAGATAGCAAAGTATGTGTTTGACGAACAATGTACCATCGATGGTTTTCAATAAATTACCAATTTACTCGCTTTCACAGCACATTTCTTGAATTGCCTGTGAACGGTGAAAATCTGACCTTTGACCTGACCTGTGACGTCATCGGTTTGACCTAGGTCAATGAAATTTGGTCACAAGGTAGTTCCCGGGTGGGGCTATCGAACGCCGTTTGAATTTTGAAAATCGGCCGGTAACTTTCCGAGATCTTAGGGGGGGCCGATACGGCCCCCCCCCCCCTACGGGTGGTAGGGTCCGCCGGTAGCCCTACGGGGCGCGGGTTAACCCGCGCATGAGTGGGGCATTTTCCATAACGCGAGTGGCTGGGGAGCATAGGTGGGCGTCGTGCCCCAAAATTGTAACTTCGTTACTCGTTCTTCCGTTCCTTCACGACGTGACTTCCGTTACTCGCTCCTCCGTGTATCTGCAAATAATGTAACGGAAGTTCTTTAGTCCGTTACTCCGTTACAACAAAAGAAAAACACGTTAAAGTGTTGTGTATTTCACACATTTCTGAGACCATTCAGACACAAAATAAACCTACCGAGAAAACGGAATGCCCACCAAATCTACCAAGACAGCGATTACTGTCTGGACGCTAAATCTTGGAACGTCTGGTGGTTCTGATGCGCATCACTTGTCCCCGGCCAGATGCCGGTTGCCCCTCACGAACACTAGACGTTCCAGGTTGGCATCTGAGAGGGTAGCCCTTTTTGCACTTAGCACGTCTTTTCCCATCGAGAACATGCGCTCGGCGCTTGAAGGGACGCCCGTGCTGAAATTTGCGAACACATGCTGCAATGCAACTCATTCTTGCTCCATGACCCGACCACCGACTTCTTTACTGGTAGTTCATACTCATTTAAAACACGCGCTATCGGCTTCACAATTACGCAAGGCACTTTCATGTGATCTTTTACATCATACTCATGTGCTTTACTTTTATCGATCTTGTTTTATTGAACGTTTATTTTATGTAGGTACTGACATCTTGTGTATTGCTTGTGTGTAACTGACTTCGTCAGTAAAAGGGCGATGGGCCTGTTGGCGATCTAATAAATACAGAATACAGAATACAGAACGCCAGCTCCTTTCGGAAGGCCAGGTCACTGAGGCCACCTTCCTTCTTCAAGACAACTTCGAGCCAAATTTTTATAATAGCCTTGGCCACATACCTACTTCTCTAATAGGTATAGAAAAGAAGTCTGTAGAAGTCTTCATATGTAGCGAAGTCCGTGCCTTGGCACTTGACCTGCTTGAACTGTGACTGGTCTCAGGTTTACTAAACCTAACACATTAGAATACGATAAAACTTAAACTTCACTGCCACATTAATGTCTGTGGGTTGGTTGAAAGATTAACCTTCTCGGAAAACGAAAAGTAACGGAAGAACGGAGGAACGAAGGAACGGGCTAAACTGTAACGGAGGAACGAGCAACCAATGTAGCGGAAGTTACTTGGTCCGTTACCTACCCTTTTTAAAATGTAACGAGTCCGTTCCTCCGTTCCTAAGAATTGCAACGGCGTTCCGGAACGGAGGAACGGAGGAACGGATCGTGCCCACCTATGCTGGGGAGGGGCTCTCCAGAGCCCCCCCCCTATTTCCGAAACCGTTGGGCTGATCGTCAAAATTCAAAGGGGGTCTGATAGCCCTGAAAAAGCTGTCGAAGGAAACCGATTTTCATTGATCTCGAGGTCACCGATGACGTCACAGGTCAGACCAAAGCAAAAATTATCAGCATTTTTGCTAACAATTTAGGCTCTGAGTTCTGACCGCCGGCTGAAAGTGTGATCAGGCTCATTTTTGCTTTACGCATTCCTTAATATATGCCTTGCATACCCTGAGGCTACCGAACTTTTACTTTGAATTTTTCAGGTCAAGGCCAGGTCATCTTAGGCCACGAAAATTGTATATCATGTATCGCTCATACTCAGAAATTTCCGTTAATCTAAGGAAAGACTACGCTCGCTTCGCTCGCTCCGTAACTAAAGTGCATACTACAGTGCATACTACAGAAATTTCCGTTATTCAGAATCTCCGCTCGCTTCGCTCGCTCCGTAATGATGTCAGCTCGCGAAATACGCTAGTAGTGTGCTAGCAGCGTCCGTGAAACAGGTCCCAGATATGCAGATAATAGACCGTCTAAAAACCGGTTCCACGTGGTGCCTCTTCCATATCCGGGGCAGAACAACCATAGCAAACCGCGAGCAGCAGACTTACATTAGTGGCATCGGTGGTGTGCGAATAACATCAGTGCTCTTCAGCTCAGTCAAGAGATACAACGAGAAAGGCGTGTGAAGGGAGGGGAGCTAGTCAAAAGGTCCAGGTCAGGCCACTAAGGCACAACAACGAGAAACGACGAGACTACTAGAAACGACAAGATCATATCGAGCAGACCCTTCAACTCTTCGCCCTCAAGTTGCGATGTCTCCCCGCCCTACAGTTCTGCTCCTGGCAGCAGTCAGCATAGTCTCTGCCCAGCTGCAGCTGACCATTCTACACAACAACGACGTCCACTCGTATTTCGACCCCGTGGAAGCCAGCACAGCTGCCTGCCGTGACCCCAACGACACCGCGAGACCCTGTTACGGCGGCATTGGGCGGCTCGTCAGCGCCGTCAAGGCAATAAAGGAACAGACGCCCAATACCTTGGTGCTGTACGGTGGCGACATCTTCCAGGGTTACTTGTACTACACACTCTTCAAATGGAGAGTGGTGGTGGACATGATGAATTTAGTGCCGTACGATGCCATGGCGCTGGGAAATCACGAATTCGACGATGGTCTGGACGGCCTCTTACCGTACCTGGATGGGATCAATCATCAGCAGCTCTGCACAAATATCGATTTCGGTCCGCTGGCCTCGCCCACAACTGACAAGTGCCTCTCCAGTGTCGTGCGGGAGATCGGAGGACACAAAGTCGGTGTCGTGGGCTTCACGACACCAGAGACGAGGGCCATTTCCAACCCACCTCCCGCCATCGAGTTCCTGGACGAGGTCACGTCACTGCGCTCGGAGACAGCCAAGCTGAAGGCACAGGGTGTCAACATCATCATTGCCGTGGGGCACTCCGGCTACGAACGGGAAAAGGAGATGGCGGAACAGCTGGAAGATGTGGATGTCATCATCGGAGGTCACTCAAACTCGCTGCTTTACACGGGAGTGGCGCCGGACGGTGACCACGTTACCGGACCTTATCCCACCGTGGTCCGTCAGCCCTCAGGCCGGTCTGTACTTGTCGTTCAGGCCTTCAAGTACGGCAAGTACCTGGGGTTGCTGAACGTCACCTTTGACAGTAACGGAGAGGTGGCTGACTGGAGTGGGAACCCCATACGACTGGAGGGGAAGCAGGATCATGAGGCGGAAGTTGTGCTGCAAGGGTATAAGGATCAGATTTCGGAGTACGAGCGTGAAGTCATTGGCACAACATTGGTACAGCTCGCCTGCACTGATGGCCGCAGCGAGTGTAGCCTGGGAAATCTGATCACTGATTCGCTGGTGCGCGCACTGCTGGCGCCGTCTGCAGGTCAGTGGAGCCAGGTGTCTGCCGCCGTCATCAACACGGGCGCCATTCGCTCTCGGCTGGCGCCGGGGAACATCACACTCTCCGACGTGCTCAACATCCAGCCCTTCGGCAACACCATCAGACTGGTGACCCTCTCCGGCGAGACGTTGCAGCAGATGTTTGAACACTCTGCGCTTGGTGGCGGGGGTTTTCTGCAGGTGTCCGGTTTTCGGGTGACCTACAACATGGACTGCCCCCTGGGAATTCGTTTGCTACACCTGGAAATCGTCTGCACTGACTGTCTGGTGCCTCGTCTGGAGCCTGTGCGTGCTGAAAACACCTACCGAGTCCTCATGTCAAATTACCTTACCGGGGCTGGGGATGGCTATGACATCATCAGAGACAACAAGATCGAAGAGTTGAATACGGGTTTGCTGGACGTGGATCTAATGCGTAACCACATCGAGCAATTCTCCCCCGTCATCTCCGGCATCGAGAGCCGGCTGGTGTTCGAGACGAACTTCACGTCCCGCTGTGGGGTCAGCCCCTAGCACCAGTCTGTGCCATTATCACGGACCTCTCTGCGGGCTCGACAAGGGCGAGGACCATTGAGTGAAGAGCAGAGCACTTTGCGTCATTACAGGTGTGCAGTGACTGTGTCTTGATGTGGCGCTTATAACAACAAGATGCATTATAAAGGAAACGCTACAAGCTAACCGAACATATCTGCTATTCTGTAGTTATTGTATGTGTAATACCTATCCATGTTGTCCTGTCTTATACATATAGACACTTGCGTGTAAAAAAAAGGGATCTAATGCCCGCATCATGCTGTTTCTCCAATCGCACCTAGCTCAGGATGAATGAACGGTGGCGTTGTCGGCGAGGAGAGGAGCGTCTTGCTTGGGCTGTTTTAGGCCGCTTTGCCCGAGGGCATCTTGCAATTTCTTTAGTAGTCTGCTCACTGTGCAACAGTATGTGATAATTATTTTTGATCTCTTTTTAAGACAGTTTACACTGACTACCCTATGCCAGATCCAGAACACCGATAGCATTGACCTTCCTTATTGGCTTCTGCATCTTTGCCTTTTAGGAAGGACTTCTCGGCCATCTCTTTTGTCTCTTGATCATATAAACATACACCGAACATTACTCGAAGGTCACTAGGCAATCGAAGGTCTCTGCAATGTCCTAAAAGTCATAGTTTTCTACTCGAACTAGGTCAAGACCAAGATTCTTACAGACAGTCAAGGACTCAAGACACACTGTTCTCTTGAACAAACGCGCAACGTACAAAGGTTGACTTCAGGTCACGTGACCTCGAGGTCATCATGTATATCATTCGATGCGTCTTGACGAGCTGAACACAGTGAGACCATCCGCACGGCTGTATCTTGTTCCTGTACGGAGTTATTGGCAAAAAACCTTTGGTGACCTTTGATGACGTCACATGACCTTACAGCTGCCCAACAGCAAAACAGGCCTCAAGGTAGTGAAGGTTGATCGTATATGAATTCATGTATGGTATATGGGGCCATTCCGACCCGTTTTAGTGGTAAAAACAGGGAGCTGATTTTCCCCCATTGACTTATAATGGGGAGGTCGAGAAATTGACCTGACCTTAGGTCATCGATATCAAAATTCCGAGATATACAAATTGTAGCTACTAATGACCTAATAACATCTGCGACTTGCAAAGGCGTCCGACATCTACTGCAGCTCTGGCACGGTGACAAAGTTGCAAAAAAGTGACTTGAGGTTGGGTCATTCAAAGTGACCTGGTGACCTGACCTTAAAAGTTAGGAGGTTCAAACTTGCACACCATGTGTAAAATTGATGAGAGAATAGTCGTATCAAATTCCGCGTTTTCCCGCTATTCGCGAAAAACCTCAGGGGGGGCGGATATTAACCCCCCCCCCCGTCGGTGCGCGGGTTAAAAGCACGTTTGTTGCTTTTTCAACCTTTTTTACACAAGCTTTACATGTGCCATGTTTATCATGCCCGGCGTAAGCTTAAAGCATCCAGCGATACGAACGTCACAGGCACAGGAACGTCAACGTCAAAGATAAAGATCCCGAGTTGACCGCTTGGTCTCATCTACGATGTCTATAAATAGTTGCATTTTCTGGACTTATGGAACAACCATCTTGGAACGTGTCTTGTAAAAGCAGTTCAGAGGTATTTATCTAAACTCTGATATCAAGACATTCTTTCGTGCTTTCATATCGCAGGGATTTGCGTCACCATGCACCAAACTGCACGATGTTATTTGATTAGAGATAGCATCGGCGAATAAGAGGTAAACTGTGGCAAACGCTGTTTTCACACGGTCTTCTCCGCTCCGTCCCTGCCTTTATACCGTTACTGTCTCGGCACCATGGCCGTCAATGTCAGTCCGTGCGGGGGTGGTGCAACCGACATGGTCACCCTCAGCTGGCGGGTTTGCAACATCGCGCTTCAGAAAGAACAGTTGCTAGGTCCGGGAACTAGAAAAAAAAAAATGTTCCTGTGAGGCAACGATCAAATCATTAGGGGAAGCGGGGGTAACACCGCCCCCCTAAGCTTTTCGCCAAAATGAGAGAATATGTGTGTAGTCTCTTGGTAGTTATTGTCTTGGTTCCAATATTTAAACATTTTGTCACGTGTTTTAGGTACTAATTTTGCATGCTCCTCAAAGGTTTTCATGTATCACGACTTTTCCTTACATATTTGCCACCTACAAATTGTGTGGGTAACCCCGCCACCGGTGTTGATGTTAACCCAACCCATCCCTACGAAAACTTTTCGTTGTTCAGAGATCGCGTGCGATGAGTTTCCTGTCGGTAAGTGGTAATTTTCGCAAATAATCGGTAATAGACACATAAATAGGTATAGGTTCATCAGCTGTTTGCCAGTTTTATACAGCTGGCAAGTGCTTGGTCGGGATGCACGAAAAATATAAAGTAAAAAAATCAAATAAGCTGCTTATTCCCGACATAGGAACATCTACGAACATAAATAAAGCATGTATTTGGAGTTTCATCACTTATCACGCTGCGAAAAGGAACACCGCAACCTCAATTGGGGGAACACCGCCACGGGGTGGCGGTGTTCCCCAATAAGTGATCAGAAGCAAAAATCGCCAGCGGCAAGAATGTACTACACGGTTCAAGCAAACCTATCTTACTGGACAAAGCCGATCAGTTATTTTTCGACGTAATCAAGTAAATCAAAATGAGTCTCTACTTAAAGACATTCAAAAGTGCTCCCAACTCATCGAATTTTTATTAGAGAATGTGCATTTTTCTTTAAATGCCCACATTGAGCTTCGATTACACTCAAACACCGGAACACAAATCAGAAGACGCTTACCTTCGTGCGGTTAATAGGAAATAACGGATTTTCACACTTTATAGTTCATACTTTCGCCGCCAGATGGGGTGGCGGTGTTTCCCACAGTGGCGGTGTTCCCCCCGCTTCCCCTAGCTTCTTGCTGCATGACGCAAGGATAGGTTGTGCTATAAAATATAATATAATTGGTTATGCTATGCCTATGCAATCTTAGCTATTGTTTATATTAGGCACAGTTTTTCATATAGGTATCAATGTGGAATAATGCCTCGTGCTCATCCGACCCAACCTTTCATCCATTTCAGGTCACTAAGAATATTTTTTTCTGCGTTGTGTTCATGTTCTTTGACAGGTAGGCGAAGTCTGGGTGGAGTCCTAGATTCACGCTAATCACGTTATGGAGTTGAAAAATTTGCATTTTGTCAAAGTTTTCCACAAAGGCTTTTTCTAAGGTTTCTACAACACACGGCTACATACGGCTTTTTCCTTGGCCTTACTCTCGAGCTCATAGGGGGGGGGGGGGGTCGATCGCAATGTCTTTCAGTTTTTCACTAGTAACTCGAGCAAAAAGCGGCTGATCGAGACGAAACTTCCAGTATCGTCGAGTTGCTTAATGGTTCACCTACCCTGAAAATTTCATGACCCTGACCTAAACGACCTGTGACCTATTTCTCGAGATCATGTTTGGCCGTAATCGCGATTCGGCGTATTTCGGCTCGCGTCCGTGTGTTTCCAGTCTGTTTGTGGTTGTAAACGTTCAAACATGTGAAATGATGTTGGTCCCATGCATTATGGTGGGTGCCATTCTCACGTAAAGATCAGGTAAACGTCATTGACCTTTGATGAACTTGTATCACTTTTTCGAGTGTGTTTCTTGAGTAGTTTTCGGAACTGATTTCGAATTAAAATTAAAAGGGTTTTAATCCGAATTGATTTCGAACCCTTTTGAACAGTTACGAAGTAGTTTTGGTGCCTTCGCAATATGTTACGAAGCTGTCAGTGGTGGTTGACATCTACTATGGATAGCCGCCAGGATGCCTACGGGTTGACCTGACCTGACCCGACCTGACCCAAATGTATGGAGGCATCATATATGATCAAAACTTGAGTGAACTTCGTGATCAGCACCCCGAAAACCTTTGACAACCTAACTTTACGAAGTTCTGACAGGTCCCGATTTTTCCGACTTCTGGGTCATTGACGAGGGTCAATCGATGACCCAGGACCTTAGAATTGGGTATCATCAGCTTCCTTTCGTCACTGGCAACACACTCGTTTTTCCGCAAGGCTAGTCTAAATCGATCAGGAGCCGAGAGGCAAGGGGTTCGAATGAACCCCCCTCCCCTCCCCCTTTAAACGTTAGACGCTGGCAAAACACCAATACTGGTTAATCACCAATAATAATGGTTAAACACCAATAATGGTTAATCTTAATGAAGTCGTCAATTTACGGGATGTGGCCAATGAAGGGAACATCAATTCCTAAATATGCAAGTTTAAATTTGTGAGCACTGAGGCATAATTCATTTTGGGCTTCAAGTGCTCTAGGCTAATGTATTACACCTTACTTAACGCTCTCATCACCATAAGCAATGCAATGTTGACCCTTTTATTATGCCGTTCCTGTTGAAGCCATCAGAAATCATGGGTGCTCTTTGTTGAAATAACAAGCATGTAAACGATATCGAAAGTTTCTAGTGAATATTACGATTACTTACTAGATATTAGCCGTTTTCACGACGGGCTATCTGGCGAATGCACCTAATTTGACCAAATCTGCACCTAATCTCTTTTATAGCGAATATCTTCATTTTATGAATTTATTTCAGTGTTTTAATCAATGGTACTCTCTCTCTCTCTGATAATATGACAAAGCAGGCATATACGCAATTAGCGCAACCCTAGCTGATAGCTACTAAGAGATACACTGAACCTAATTTGACCAAATCTGCACCTAACCTGCACCAAATGTGTACCAGATGGCCGTCGTGAAAACGGCTATTGTTTTTAATTACATTCAAGCAAACACTTTGTATTTACAAAGAAATGCAGTGAACTAGTTATTTGGGCTGCACACAAGTGCCTTCATTTATCATTAAAGATCTACAAAAACTAATAAGTCCTTTGGCAAATGGCCATTGCAAAAACCTTGCCAAGCTTGAATCACTGCACAGTGGGGATTTTTCCGATCTAGCACGTATTTATTCGTAGAGGGCAAACCATAGGTAGAATTGTAGCCAGATTGTGCACAGATGTTGGCTGGTGTGTCCTGGTGAGAATTTTACCTGTAAATGTGCATAATCAACATAGTATAGGGGGTTCAATTGGACCCCCCGCTCAGCCGTTTGGCCCCTGATCAAGCTAGAGCTTCGCGGAAAAGTCAAGCGTGCTGCCTATGACGAAATTAGGCCGAATATATCCAATTTCAAAGTCCAAGGTCATAAGCTGACTTTCCAAGTCAGTTTAATGACCCAACTAAAGTTGGGAAATCGAGACCTCTTGAAACTTCGCAAAGTTAGGGTGTTACGGGGTATTTTGAGGTGCTGATCACGAATTTCATGTTAGTTTTGATCACAGACGATGTCTTTATGCATTTAGGCCAGGTCGGGTCAGGTCAGGTCAGATCAAGTACCTAGTAGGCGTCCTGCCGGCCATCCATAGACTACTGGTAGCTTCGTAACATGGAACGAAGGGACTAGAACTACTTCGTAAATATTCAAATGGCTGCTAAAATCGAAATCAGCACCAAAAACTACCCTAGAAACAAGTAAAACTCGAAAAAGTGAACCAAGGTCATCAAAAGGTCAATGACCTTGACTTGACCTTCATGTGACCTTGACACCCACCATTATGCATGGCACCAACATCATTTCACATATTTGAACGTTTAAAACCACAAAAAGACTGGAAACCGCGGATAATGTGAGCTGGCATACGCCGAATCGCGATTCCGGCCAAACATGGTCTCGAGAAATATGCCACAGGTCAAAGGTCAGTTGGGTCAGAGTCATGAAATTTTTAGGTTAGATGTAAAATTGATGATCTCGAGGGTACCGAAAGTTTCGGCGCGATCGGCCGCTTTTTGCGCGAGTAATTTGCGGAAAACCATGGGGTTTTATCCGACCCCTTCCCCCTCCCCCTCCCCACAAGTGCGATGGTTAATAAGGTTACGGTATGTATAATTTACGCTTGTCATCCTATTCCTAATGAATGTGTCTCAGAAAATATGCATCATATAAAGCACGAAGTAAAATTATTCGCCTATGTCGAGAACATACCTATATCGTGCTGTTTGCCCTAGCGCTCCTCGAGTGGGGTGTTAAGATACTCTAATGTGAATATTCCGTGTTCAGGCAAGTTTCGGCAGCCAAACTATTCGTTGTCTTGTGCAGAAGAAAGTGGCGAATTCGATAGGATATATTTCGGAGTGGAAAAGTGTGGAGAACATTGTTGATTTCCTACATTTATTTAGAATACCATTCCTTCAATATGGTGTCTGTAAGGGTTTTTGTAAAGGGCATTTTTGTGACCTTAGTAAGGTTGTGGCATACTTTCTGTTTGCCATTCCATTCCTAATAAAGGTGCCTTTCAGACGATATGCAACTTTAAGACCTCGCAAGATTAAAACCAACAGGACAGGACAATGAAATTGAGCTATACTTTCGGGCCTTGCTGAGCCCATTGAGTAATCACGCATGAGTGTGAACTTTGGGCGCATTTTTCCTAGTTTTGCTGTGGACATACAGATAAAACAATGCCATATATGAAAAATTCAGACATTTCTTAGCCCTACTGACACAAAAAAATAAACAAAAATCCAAAAAATATTTTTTGAATTAATAGGCGCTAGATCCGAAAAATCCCCACTGTGCACTGCAGTGATTGTGTGTGAAAGTGTCAGATCGAATTGCATTCAAGAGTGCAAGTAATGCAAGCTCCCGGAAATATCAGCCCAGCTCGCAATGCTTACCTATTGTTTTGCAATATTTTAAATGACTCTGCAATATGTGCTGCGGTGATGTTTAATTAAAAACGGTGATCGTGACGGGCGAATTGAGCCGCTGCCGCTGCGTTTCCCTGTTTCTACCGAGTCTGACTCGCATCATGAGCAATCGGCCACTGATACAATCACGGCAAACGATAGTCATAAGTGGGTCACTGCGTTATTATAAGCGCCGGGGGTGCGACAGAGACACCTGCCCTGTTTCATAACGCATCCAGAGATACACGTTCAGTGTTGACATTGAAGTGTCGCCGCCTCGAAGACCGGACGCCACATCTGTAGTTGATATCCTTCAAACTGACCGGTCTGTCCGGTCGATATAAGCCGATTCTCCACCGCTGCACTTTTTGATACGTGTTTATAGAGCGCAGCTGTCGGACCCGTGGCCTGCTGATGTGTAGGATCTAGAGCTGCGAGCGACCGACCCCTCAGCTGTCGGCAGACGTCACGTGATTCCCAGAACAGGCGCCAATGCCCGGCCGGCCAGCCGAGTGATAAACACAGCGGCTCTACCAGATTCCGCCGCGGGACGACCCGCCGAGCTTCTGTGAAAACTGGCGAGTGAGAGCCAGCGCTGCCGGCTCTGTGCGCTGTGCCACAGACGAGTCGAGTGGACGCGGTTGGCTGTGGTGTTGTGTTTGCGGTAGATTCAGCGGTGGCTTGTGTCTACGACAGTGACTATAGAAGTGCTAACGGGGGAACAGTTGGTGGCTACCGCAGTGACTTAAGTGACCACGACGGTGGACTGTGGTGACTTCAGCATCGAACTTTTGTTTACTCTTGGTGGTCATGCCCAGTAAATAATGAAACCGTTACGAATAGTGTTTGTGACCTTGACTAGAGTAGCCTACGAGCGTCCATGACCGGTGGCAAATACGGCCATCACTGCTTGTGCCTACGGCCTATAAGTGTGACTTTGAGTGCCTATCATTGTGTGCATGTGACAGCGGCTGTTGTGACTGAGGCAGTTGCCTGGTCGTTATTGTGTAGCGCAGTCTGTGTATGGTTCATTGAACTGATTGCACAGGGTGTTGGGACCACCGAGGACTGGGCGGCATCCAACTGCTCTGTTATCCACTCAGTCGACCGGGGCCTGTCTGAGCTGCCCCGCCGGTCACTATGCGCCCGCCACCCGCGCTGGTATCAGTGTGCCTGCTGGCCGCGGCCGTGTGCGCTGACAGTGGCCAGCGGGCCCACACCCGGGCACCGTCCAACTGCCGGGACCACGCCGGCCGGCCGGGTGTGTGCGGCACCGTCCATGACTGCCCGCCGCTGCTGGCACTCGTCTCCAACGGCCGCCGCCCCAGTGCCGAGGAGGTCTCCCAGCTGCGCCGCAGCCAGTGCAGGGTACCCGGCGGCAGCCGCAGGCGAGTGCTGCTCTGCTGCGCCCTGCCGCCACCACCCCCTCCTCCGGCGGCGCCCGAGGAGCCGTTCGACGGCGAGCCCGAGGAGCACCCCAACCGGCGTCTGCTGGAGCGGGGCGAGCCGTGCGGCTCCTCTCTGGTGCCGCGCATCACCGGCGGGAAGGAGGTGCGGCACGGCCAGCACCCGTGGATGGCGCTGATCGGCTACCGGCACTCGGAGACGGGCCGCGTCAGCTACCGGTGCGGCGGCGCGCTCATCGGCCGGCGGCACGTGCTGACCGCGGCGCACTGCCTGGTCAGCCTGCCGGCCCAGCTGCGACTCGACTCGGTCCGGCTGGGCGACCACAACCTGTCGCGGCCCACCGACTGCGCGCTCACTCCCGACGGCCGACCGGTGTGCGGCGTGCCGCAGGAGTTCCGTATCGCCGCCCTCTTCATCCACAGCGACTACAACAAGCCCAGCGCGCGGCTCAACGACATCGCGCTGCTCAAGCTCGACCGGCCCGTGGTGGAGGACAACTTTGTCGGCAAAATTTGTCTGCCGTTCGATTCGGCCCGTCAGCGCAACTACACGGGTGTCGGCCTGTCCGCGGTGGGGTTCGGCAGCGTGGGCCCGGGCCGCGACTCTCCTTCCAGTGAGGTGCTGCTGGAGGTGGTGCTGCCGGGCGTGGACCAGCAGCGGTGCGCGGCCGCCGTGCGCCGGCTGGGCGGCCTGCTCGGGCCGCGTCAGATGTGTGCCGGAGGGGAGCCCGGCCGGGACGTCTGTTTCGGCGACTCGGGCGCGCCGCTGGTGGCCGACCCCGGAGCCGGCGAGCTGGCGCCCACCCTGGTCGGACTCGTGGCCTACGGGGCGCGGCTCTGCGACGGCGCCGTGCCCGGTGTCTTCACGCGCGTCTCCTCCTACCTGAACTGGATCCTGGACAGGATCGATGACTGAGCCGCCCTCGGCGAGCGTCCCACCTGACCGCTAGTGTGAGACGCTATGCGTTCTGCGTGTGCTATGTGGTAGCTTACGGTGATAATGCCGATAATTGTGGTAATCGTAACAATATTTCGGTAGGAGCATGACCCACGCACGAGTCGCTTGAGTGGCAGTGGCTTGTCGAATGCTCTGTGCCTACAGCTGAAATATGTATAATGCACTGCATCCGAATAAGTGGATGATCCTCCATGTTGAATACATGTAGGTAGGTACTTCTGTTCGTAAAGCAGGCAAAATGCTTAATAAAAAATTTTTAAGTGACGCCGGGCGGAGATGATCAGGTAGCTGCTACCTTGATAAATGATTTACACTTTTCTGTGGGAATTGAATTCATTTTCTTTTGTCGAGCCATAGACCTCTGTATCTATTCCGATCCGTGAATAGATTTAAACGTACTTAAATGCGATCGCGTTGATGTGATTAACCCGCGCCCCACTGGGGTCTGCGTATAACACGCCCTACTGGGGGGGGGGGCTATTCATAGCCCCCCCTCCTAACTCCGAAACTACTGGGCCGATCGTCAAAATTCAAACGGCGTCTGATAGTCCCGGAAAAACTGTCGAACGAAACCTAATTTCATTGACCTCGAGGTCACCGATGACGTCACAGGTCAGGTCAAAGTAAAAATTATTAGCATTTTGGCTTCTTCACGTTTTGGGCTCTGGCCGCCGTCTTACAAGTCAGATCAGGCTCATTTTTGGTTCACACACTCGTGAACAGATGCTCTAGATTCTCTGAGGGTACCAAACTTGTACTTTGATTTTCAGGTCAAGGTCAGGTCATCAGAGGTCACGAAAATATTATATCATCCGTCGATCACGTGACACATGTTTTATGGTCCATTTAGGCCAAACATTTCGAATTTGATGTCGTCTGTGTCATTCGAGGTCATTTTGAGTCAAATTTAGCTCAGGTCAGGTCACTTTCAGGTCAAAAAAGGTCAAATTTTGAAGTTAAAATTTTTCAACAGAAAAAGTGTCTATTGGATGCAGTTTGAGCTCAGGAACACGATGGTGCTATTTATGTTGGCGTACGATGTCAAATTCGTGCTGAAAAATTGATTTGAAAAAGTAATAATTGTGAATTTTCAGCAATAATGCGTATAACTTGGCCATTTTTGAAGATATTTAGCTAAAACTTGCTAGAGTTTGTCAAAATAATGCGTTCTATCACAAATATTCCGGTTTTTTCGAAAAGTCAAATAGTTTTTGAAAAAAATGTAAAAATATAAATTTTGAATTTTATTATATAAAATTTTCGAAATTTTCAAAATTTCGAAAATCCGAGATAGCAGTTTGATAGCGCAGTCTATTCTGAGTCCTCTCATGCAAAGAAATTGGATCTAGCTTAAAAACTGAGCTCTTGGGAGCGATTGCCGTGGTTCAATGTTTTACGTCGAAATCGGCCGAACATGACGTCACTCTGACGTCATTTCCGGCCGACCTATCGTAGGTACTAAGTTCAAATTTTGACACAAGGTGTCAAATGGATGCAGCCGAAGGTACTGAAAGTTTGGCGTTGATACGTCAAACGGTTTGGAAGTTATTGCAGAAAAACGGGAGGGGGGCTATAAATAGCCCCCCCCAGTGGGGCGCGGGTTAATGTCGCTTTTACGATATGTAGCCCAATGGTTTCAATTGCTACTATTTGAATAAGCAAATCGTTTTACTTTCAAAACCTTTCATAGACTTTTTATCATCTGATTTAAAAAGCTGTTGTTATTGCTCGATAAGCAGCATAAGTTAAATTGATTGTATGACTTACATGTGTTCAGTAGCGCCAATCGCCAGGTGGTCAACAAGGAATCGCTTCAGTATTGAACATTTTCCAGATGGTTTGAATTGAGCCAGTCTTTCTCGCATGCTGAGGCCATCAAACTACTAATTGGCGATAAATCCTACCTACATACACTGCTGTTGTCGAAGTGCAACAAGAGACCAGCTTTACATATGTTCTTTAACTGTGGAACTTGTCTTTTCCGCTAACAGATGAGCAGCAGTTGTCACAATGTATTTAGCACCACAACACGTCCGCTTGTGTGCAGCTCTTATACCTGCTATTTAACCAAAGAACCCGTGTTCCGCTCTTATACCTGACCAAACGTAGCACAGATTCTACACGATAAACAAAGACGGAAGAGCAAGGCCTTCCACTATCATCACGACGGCGAAGCGTTCAGTTCAGTCCAGCCTGTCCAGAATCCAGTTGAGGTACTCGGAGACCCTCGTGTTGACGCTGGGCACCCCGCCCTCGCCGCAGCGCACCGCCCCGAACGACACCACGCCCACCAGGCTGTAGGGTGGCCCGGTGGGTGTTGGAGCGATCAGTGGGCCTCCCGAGTCGCCGTCACACGAGTCGCGGCCGTCCTCGCCACCGGCACATATCTGCTTATCTGTGATGACGCCTTTGTGCCGGGTGATGACGTCGCTGCAGACTCTCTGGTCCACGCCGGGCAGCCTCACCTCCATCAACACCTGGCTGGAGGGCGAGCTGGAGCTGGGGCCCAGCCGGCCGTAGCCAGCCGCCGTCAGGTTCACGCCCGTGTAGTCGCGGTGTCCTGCTATACCAAACGGTAGGCAGATCTTGCCGACAAAGTCGTCCTCCAGCACGGGACGGTCCAGCTTAATCAGCGCGATGTCGTTGCTCGAGTTGATCCTGCTGTATCCCTCGTGGAAGAGGCTGGCATTGATGCGGAAGTTCTGCGGGTGGTTGCAGATTGGTGAGCCGTCCGCCCTCTGCTGACAATCCTCACGCGAGGTGAGGTCGTGCTCTCCGAGCCGGACGAGCATGAGCTCCGCGTCGCCCAGGTCGGTGACGCAGTGCGCCGCCGTCAGCACGTGCTGCTGGCTGATGAGCGCGCCGCCACAGCCAGGGCGGATGCTACCGGTGATCAGGTCGCGGTAAAACAGCACCGCCATCCACGGGTGCTTGCCGATGGGCACCTCGTCTCCGCCGCGGATTCGCTGGTGCACGACTGTGCCGCACAGTTTGCCCTGCTCCACCAGGTGCTTGTTGGGGTGGTCCTCCGGAGGTGGCTGGGACGATGACGGTGCGCAGCAGATGTGCACTCGAGTCTTCGTCCGGCCGCAAACACTCTTCTTGAGGAAGTTGAACTCGATGGGCGTCGGTCGTCGGCCGGCTTCGACTATCCAGCTGAGGCCGTCACACTCTTCGATGGAGCCGCACGTTCCCGTTCGATTTCTGGCGTCACGACACTCGAGTTCGCTCTGCCGTTTGAGTCTGCCGGCAGAGACGGCCACCGCCAGGGCACAGGCCGTCACCAGGACATCCAGTATCCTCATGGCGGACGGCGGAGGGCCAGGAGGGGACCCGGACGGAGTGCCACTCTGACCGGGCAGCGACGGTGACCGGTCTCCTCACCAGCGAGCCCGAGCACTGCGATCGTCGACTGGGGCACGCCGGACACCGCACGCCCACTGATCTTATAAACAGTGCACCCGGGCCCCGCGCGGCCAGCAGCAGCGCAAACTCTGGAAAGCACAGAGGCCGCCCGGCTCTGGACCAAATATCCAGCGTAGTCCGGCGTTTGACGTCACCCTCTCCCCAGCCTGAGTGCCGACTGCCTGGGTGACTGGGTGACGGAATGTCAGGACCGGTTGGAACGCTGTCCAATGACCAGTGTCCGGCCATTGCACTGTTCAGATACGCAAGGCTTGACATTCAGTGCTTCCAAATTTGTACGATCTTTAAAGCTAATAAAAATTGCGCATTATAAATGTATGTACATTTTAATACATTTCGACTTAATGTTGTTGATACGTTTAACCGATGTCTTTTATTATTATCCATAGCATCCGGCTACATTGTTGAACTTAGGTAAAATCTTAGAGCAACACTCAGAAAGACCTTTAACCCTCGCCCGCACATGCCATTTTCCCATCCCAGGGTGTTTCACTAAAAGTGTCAAAAAGTAAATGCTTATTAAAGATATATAAAATACGCAAAGCACGTGGTTGCGCACGTGGTTTTGTTGCAAATTTTTGGACATTTATGCTTTGGCCACTTAAGATATATTTTACACTCATACGGAGCGAGGGTAGGAGGCCAAAGTTACTAGTCGTTTTTTTCCTTATACAGAACAAGAACAGGTTATTTACACCGCAACAGGAGCGGTGGATTACACTTACATTTGGCGCTATCAGAAACATTGAAACCGTACGCCGACTTTTCAGGAAACGTTTCACTCTCTCACCTCGCTACGACCCAGATTATAAAAGTTTCAAAGGGCTTCTTGAGAGGTTTAAAAGGGTTCCTTTGATGCCGGTTCCAGTCCAAAAAAAGGCGGGTCGCCCCCACATCTCGGCGGAAATCGTTGAAAAGGTCAGGTTTTTTTTAGGGCCTTTTAAGATAACAAGAAGCTTATTTCAACATCAGAAATAGCCAAGCCCCCAATTTATCAGAAACAACCACCGTAACGGCTGTAGCCACCAAGAACTGGCTGGACCAGAAGTTCCGTTCCCGGGCCGAATAATCAGCTGCCTCACCGCCCGCCCCTGGCCAGCGCGAGGCCCCGATCTGTCACCGCTAGCCTTCTGGTTTTGGTCAGTAGCTCTCGCAGAGCTGAGGAAGACTTAAGTCGCATCACTTTTGGAGCTGAAGAGCACAATGCAAGGCTTTGCTGACAGTCTGGACGCTGAAGATGAAAACGGGCTGTGAGGCACCTCCGGACACGTGCCGAAACGGTGCATCAAAAGAAGCGGCGGATATGTGGAATAGGTTTGAGTGACGGTGATATCATTTTTATATATTCAAATGTCCAACAATCGCGGATGGAATGATGTGCAAATGTCCATAGAAAACATTGTTATTATGTGCATTAGGGCCTTTTACTTTTTGACACTTTTAGTGAAACACCCTGTAGAACGCACATGGGGGGGGGGGGTTGCCACCCCCCCCCCCCGCGCCATTTCGTTCCTGTTGGAGATAGAGCTTAGCGGTAAAGACCAAAAAGATTTTTTGGGAAGAGACGAATCCAATGATACCCAGTTTAGCCTTCTCAGGTCAGTCATTGACCTTCCAGGTCAGGTCAAACTAAAAAATGTTGCTGTTTTGGGTCACTGTTGGATATCAAGTGCGCTGCTTAGCAAATACCGATGACGATGCTGTTTTCTAGTGCCAAGCCAGCTAGAACCTCTTTGTCACACTACCCGACCAGAATTTTGCTGCTGAGGTCATTTCAGGTCAAGTTAGGTCAAGGTCAATTATATGTGTTTGTATGTCTGTGTGTGTCTGCGTGTATACTGATGTGTGCACCGATTGTTTTTGGGTCACCGGTCAATAGTACATGAAATCATGATCTGAGAAGCTTTTACCAAAAATGCAGTCAAAAAAATTCACAAAAAGTAAATTCAGCTTGCCTAAAACGCAATTATCTTAGATGACCTAGGTTGACCTTGACCCTGACCTTGACCCCTGTACATCGTCGAACAGCATGTTCCATGATAGGTGGGAGGTAAGACTGGCAAAAAAGGCCGAAATCAGGGTGTCAAAAGCTCACAAGGCCCATGGCAAACGCAAGATGTTGAGAATTGGCCATTTGGGTCATGACATGACCTGAAAAACAAGGTCATATCTCCGAAATCAAAAATCACAGAAACTTGAAATTTTCAGTGGACATCAAGAAAGGATAAAGGAGCAGCTATACGAAAAATCAGCCTTCTAGCTCTAAAAATGTTGAGTGCAGAGCAGAAAGACTACCTGGGGGGGGGGGTGGCAACCCCCCCCCCATGTGCGGGCGAGGGTTAAAAGAGCTATCGTATGCACTTTTTTGCAGCGCTGTTGCTCTTTTGGTTCCAGACTTATGCTCTGATTTGTGAAAAGTTGTCAAAATCGGGAACAAGAATTCGTGAACCTTTGGTGACCTCCAGCGACCTCCGCGATGACCTGATAAAAAAAAAATGATCGCTATAATTCTGAAGGAGATATAGCAAACTATCGATTTATTTTTAACGCGTCTTTCTACATAGCTTGCTTACTTCCCGAGATAACCTGGTGTGGCCAAAAGGCCCCCTTCCACTATGGCGAAGTTTGTTTAGAGGCCCACCCGGGCGCGGGTTAACCCGCGCCCGGCTGGGGGTCCTGGATTTCCACGCCCTGCTGGGGGGGGGGGGTGTTTGAACACCCCCCCCCCTTGTAACTCGGCTCCTGGGCCACGTAGCGATACGCGGAAGGCGGCGTTCGAAAGAGCGTAAAATATAATGACGAAATCACTTCGGTCAATTTTTTGGTCAGGTCAAAGGTCAGGTCACCAGAGGTCATTGAAGGCAAAATTTCGCCGATTTCCAGGTCCAATGTCGAAAATTTCCAAGAAGCCAACGCATAACTCGGGAACCAATAGAGCTACAGCGCCGCCGAAAAGCGCATTCGATAGCCCTATTAACGCCCTTTCTGAATAATTCTCTCAGATTTGACCTAACGTCAACGGTTTTGCCTGCAGGGGGCAAAAACTGCAAAAATAGCCGATTTTTTCGGAAACAGTATTTCTGCAATAACTTTTGACCCAAGCCTTGTACGAGCTTACTTTTACCGTCATCGTGTTCCTCTCGTCAAGACGCATCGAATGAACTATAACTTGACCTTGAAAGGTCAACTTGAAAATTTGACCTCAGGTCAAGGTCATGACCTGACCGGAAGGGGTCATGTTGCATATCAGTCTATCCGTATCGTCGAGCTGAACACATATAAGGCGTTTTCATCGCTCTAGCATGCCTCTATCAAAAGTTATCTGCGAAAAACTGTTAGATACCGTTCGTGACCTAAGATGACCTCAGGGCATAAACAAGGGTCACGGACACCATTTTCATGTTCAGTGTGTCTAAACCATTTGTACTTCGGTGTTTGGGAGTGTTTATTATGTCTTTCGTCCAAAAGAGGCGCATTTCAATTTTCTCCCATTGACTTATAATGGGGAGGTCGCAAAATTGACCGGACCTTAGGTCATCGATATCAAAATTCTGAGATATACATTTTGTACATGCTATTGCTCTTAACAATCGCTGAATGTTTCAAAGCGATCGGTCACTCGGTGTAGCTATGGCAGACATTGAAACGTTTTATAAGGTGAGGTCACTTCAAGTGACCTGGTGACCTGACCTTGAATGACCTTGGTCTGAAATTTTCACAACATGTGTAGAATTGATGTATGATAAGGTGTACCAAAAACGGCGGCGCCCCGCGCCGCCGTTTTTGAGAAATTCATGAAAAACCACAAGGGGGGTGTTCAAACACCCCCCCCCCCCCAGCAGGGCGCGGGTTAGCGAACCCCACGCGTTTTACGCATGTTTGTGGTCGGCACTGCAGAGTGCAGATTGATACGTGACCATAGAAAATATCTTAGTTACATAAGGTGTTGGATAGGGTAGTGTGGGGTAATTTGAACATATTTTTACGTCTTCTCCATTGTATCAAATTCCAGCTCAACCCTGGATGAAGAAAAACTGTTTCAGTAGCGCATGTGTCACTTGCTTTCACCATGCAAGCCTCATTTTTGGACGAGCCGAGCATACCTTGAATAGCATAGCATCACTTCTCTACCATGTCACGGTGTGTTCAAATTGCCCCACCGTGGGGTAATTTGTACATACTGCCTTTACCTGCCATAAAAACGATAGTCTCGCCAGCACCGATGTTGCTTGACCCATAAACGAATAGGCAAAACAATTCTAAACATACCTTCATTTGAAAAATCAACACAACAACAAAAATAACAGTTGCAGAGCATCAATATCTGCACGCTGCACACCGGTCAGTTGACAGAATTCGCCTCTCTTCAATTAACAGAACGTCTGTCATCTCCGTTCGATAAAAACTCTACCAAACCTTACTTCATCTGTTATAGTGGTGCCAATCGGAACCTGGACATTCGGAGTTCCGATTCTTTATAATGTCCAATTCGGAATTGATTGCACAAAGGTATAGTAGTCTGGACGAGCATTTTTATCAAGTAATCGTGCGTAGCATTGATTGGCGAGTGGAAAGCTAAAAGCTTGTTAAGCTCTTAATATAATGAACACTTTTCGGCTGGTAAAATTACATGATAAGCAATATAAATGACGGTTTTAAGTGTTGATAGCTGCATAATTTTCGGACATATTTGGACAAATGGTTGACTTTAACATTTGTGGACGGAAAATCAACGAAAATGCCGGACATTAGACGGATATTAGACGTAAATTTTCTAAAACTGGCATCACTTATCTGCTACTGCTTTGGGTCGAAAATATTGGCAAAAAAACTGGGAGCGTTGTTTTTTCGGAGCTATCCCTGTCTTCAATAAAATTCTCACACTATGTTCAAATTACCCCACGCTAAAAGTTACTTTGCCATTTTTAAAAACAGGGTTCAAAAGCAAATTTCTTGGACTGAAGGCACTAATTAGGTCATTGTACAACAAAAGCCGTTGCGTATTAGGCGCTAGCAATGCAAGATTTTGCGCTGCAATGAAGCTGCAATGACGTGTTGTTAGGCGTTTATCCTTGCGAAATTGATTTTTTACACTGTGCGTCAACATCTTCATTCCCTGAAACTTAAAACCCCGTTCATATGATAGCCCGCTTAGTTACGATAATTTCTCTCATTGGTCTTATTGTCATGCCACTTATGGATTTTCCGTAATTTTGTGTTATTTACACTATGTTCAAATTGCCCCACATGTTCAAATTACCCCACCCTACCCTAGTTTATATCCCATTGATGCTCTAATTTCCATGGTAGGTATGTGCAAAACAACGTAGTTCATGAGGGCCTGTGTTGAAACTCCTGCGCCGGGAATTCCAAAAGCTGAGTTACGATGTTTTGCCGTTGTCCGTATGTAAGTACCTACAACTATTGACATTCAGTCCACTCGTCATATGGAATGGAGAATTCAACCACAATTATTTTAAGCATATTTGATTGAACGAATCCTACATATATTCCGAATAGCTCAATCTTTGTCAACCCAAAGGTTGACAAAGATCTGTGATCGAATATACCCGAATTTTGCTAATTCGTCATTTTTATTCAAAATATATTGAGGATTCGGTCAATCAAATATGCTCATAATCATCATGATGATTTTCCTCACAACACTTAACTCTCTTAAATGCACAATTATCCAGAATTGGAGGATCAAAAGCATGTGATAGCATGCTTTTGCATCCGGAAATTCCCATTGGTGGGTCGCTGAAGAAAAGTTCGGCCAAGCCTGTTTGTCAGTATGTGACTTGGTATGTGAGTGAGTATGTGAGTGAGTATGTGAGTGAGTTTGTCCAAGCCTTTTTGGACCTGGAGTCAAAATGGGTGGACCGATCGGGACGAAAGTGGGACCGTTCGACTCGTCTCCGGCGAGGTAAACTTTTGGTACTGGCCTCGGTTCGCTCAGTGCTTCGTGGCACATGCTATAACTTTTGTTTCCCCATCGCTTGACCGTTTGATTCTTCGGCGCAGTTGCTGCAACTGCAAAAGTTGTAACTTGTAGGTGCCTTAAGTGGGTCGGAAATGCCACGATTGCACCACGCGTGGGACTAGCGATTGTGGTAGGCTAGCCACACTCAATACATAGACGGACATCCCTGTTATACAGCTCGCGGATAAAATAACGGATGCAGGCTCAAGACGATTTCGCTCTGCAAACGGTACTATTACCTGCTTTTGCTGGTTTGGTCTGTTTATGCATGGCAGTATCAAAAACGTTACGATTGTATCTTAATTGGAAAAGATGTTATGCACTAGCATGATTTTCTTGAATGCTTGCAACTCACTAAAGCGTACTCTATATGCTTTGCCATGGCTTCTAATTTGGTATCATTTAAAATTAGCTCTTATATAGTCGTGCTTTGTTCCAGCAATCCGGTAATGTGATTTCATATTGGTGTCAATAAGGACACACCAATACCACTAAAAACGATATAGCGTGAGACTGGCATTACGGCTATTTATGGAAACAAATATCAGGTCGGCCGTTTTACCCTATCTAAATTGAGGCACATAACGGACGATCCTATATAGGTGCTTGAGTCGAAAAGGAAAACAACAACACCGAACTACAGAATGAGTGCTGAATGACTCAACCACTACGGCACAGGTGGAAGCATGATAAGTGCATGGGTATCGCTTGTGTCTACATATTTTTCATGTTTAATTTTATTTTCATGTTCATTAAAAAACTATTTTTTATTTAACCCTCGCCCGCACATGCCATTTTCCCATCCTAGAACGCACATGGGGGGGGGGGTGGTTGCCACCCCCCCGCGCCATTTCGTTCCTGTTGGAGATAGAGCTTAGCAGTAAAGACCAAAAAGATTCTTTGGGAAGAGCCGAATCCAATGATACCCAGTTTTACCTTCTCAGGTCATTCATTGACCTTCCAGGTCAGGTCAAACTAAAAAATGTTGCTGTTTTGGGTCACCGTTGGATATCAAGTGCGCTGCTTATCAAATACCGATGACGATGCTGTTTTCTGGTGCCAAGCCAGCTAGAACCTCTTTGTCACACTATCCGACCAGAATTTTGCTGCTGAGGTCATTTCAGGTCAAGTTAGGTCAAGGTCAGGTATATGTGTTTGTATGTCTGTGTGTGTCTGTGTGTATACTGATGTGTGCACCGATTGTTTTTGGGTCCATATCACATGAAATCATGATCTGAGAAGCTTTTACCAAAAATGCAGCCAAAAAACTTCACAAAAAGTAAATTCAGTTTGCCTAAAACGCAATTATCTTAGATGACCTAGGTTGACCTTGACCCTGACCTTGACCCCTGTACATCGTCGAACAACATGTTCCATGATAGGTGGGAGGTGAGACTGGCAAAAAAGGCCGAAATCAGGGTGTCAAAAGCTCACAAGGCCCATGGCAAACGCAAGATGTTGAGAATTGGCCATTTGGGTCATGACATGACCTGAAAAACAAGGTCATATCTCCGAAACCAAAAATTACAGAGACTTGAAATTTTCAGTGGACATCAAGAAAGGATAGACGAGCAGCTATACGAAAAATCAGCCTTCTAGCTCAAAAAATGTTGAGTGCAGAGCAGAAAGACTGCCTGGGGGGGTGGCAACCACCCCCCCATGTGCGGGCGAGGGTTAAAGAGTAACAGAGCCATTCGAAAAAAGATATTGAGACATCGTGTTTTAGTATTAATTCGACAAAGCTCTGCTTGGGGAGCGGTAATTAGCGATTCTTATGGCAATGACATGGCTTTAAATGGAGCTGGTACGACGCAATTCAGCTTCTGTTATTTCGCCAGTCGCCAGTTCCTACCATTCGACAGAGCAAGACGGACCAGCCGTATACAGTACAAGTTTCACACTGCACTCGTTTGCCAAAACAAAGCGTAATAAACACTGAACAGTGAACATTTTTCGTCTACCTGCACACATACATCGCACTGGACGTAACACCCCTCAGCGATCTACCCTGTCCAGAATCCAGTTGAGGTACTCGGAGACCCTCGTGTTGACGCTGGGCACCCCGCCCTCGCCGCAGCGCACCGCCCCGAACGACACCACGCCCACCAGGCTGTAGGGCGGCCCGGTGCGTGTGGCGGCCATCAGAGGACCGCCCGAGTCGCCGGCGCACGAGTCCTGGCCCGGCTGGCCGCCGGCGCAGATGTGTTTCGACGTGATGACGGCGCCCTTGCTGCGCAGGATGGCGCTGCACTCCTGGAGTGGCACCCCCGGCAGACGCACTTCGTTCATCACCAGACTGTTGGGCCCGAACCGCCGCGGCCCCGTGCGTCCGAAACCGGCCACCGTCATACCGACGCCGTCGTAGTTTCGCTGGCGCGCCTCGCCGAATGGCAGGCAGATCTTGCCGACGAAGAGCGTCTCGGACACGGGCCTGTCCAGCTTGAGCAGCGCGATGTCGTTGTCGCGTTCGTTTGGTCGGTTGTAGGACTCGTGTACAAAAGTGCGGGCCACGCGGAAGTCTTGCGGCGCGCTGCAGTTGCGCGGCCCGCCGCCCGAGCGCAGGCAGTCGAGGGGCGAGCTGAAGTCGTACTCGCCGAGGCGGACGGTGGTGAGCCGGAGGCCGGCCGGAAGGTCTGCGACGCAGTGCGCCGCCGTCAGTACGTGCTGCAGGCTGATGAGGGTGCCGCCGCACTCGAACTTGACCGGCGCACCGCGGTCCGAGTAGCCGAGCACAGCCACCCAGGGGAACTTGCCGACCGGCACCTGCTTGCCGCCTACCACGCGGTCGCTGAAGTAGGTGCCGCACGAGAAGCCGCGCTCCACGATGGCGCGGTTCGGGTGCTGCTCGGGGGAACCTTGGTGCTGAGCTGTTCCCCCGCCGCCGCTAGGACGGGCCTGCTGACCGGCGCCGGCCCTCGAGGGGCAGCAGAAGAGCGGCGTTCGCTGCACTCGGCCGCAGACGAACTGGCGCAGGATGTGGACTGTCTGCGGCGAGCTGACGCCCGTGCCGGAGACGACCTGCAGCAGCGCCGGACACTGGTGCAGCGTGCCGCACACACCCGCTCGGCCGAACGGATCCGAGCAGGCCGAGCCGGGCCGGCCCAGCTGGCGGCGGTGGCGTCCGGCGCCGGAGACCGCCGTCAGCAGACACATCGCTGCCATCAGCACCGACAGCGGCGGAGGCCGGTGCATGGCGGCGGACTGGCCGGCGGAGTGGTGCCGAGCGGTGCCGGCGGAGCAGTGCCGAGCGGTGCCGGCGGCTCGTGTCGAGGAAGGGGCGCTCGGAGCGCTGGCCGTGGTGTTCGTGACGCCGCTGCTCGCAGAGTGAGTGCTCCTGGCGCCGGCGCCGGCGGCTGCTGCTGGCTGACTGACAGCCACCCAGAACCAGTTTGGCTGGCACACAGCCTCCGCGCCGAGCTGTGACGTCAGGATGACAAAGCCACTGCAGAGCTCGGTGAGCGCGACTATCTCTCCCAGATCACGGCAGCAGGAGTCTGAGGAAATGGCCCACATCGAGGGCACACTGCCGGCGGGCTCCGTGCATGGCACACAATTACAGATCGTGCCGATAACGACCGGCAGCGGCAGACAATGGCCGTCACACGGGCGTACCGACCGCTGGAGGATAACCGTAATATGACCTTTCTGTTCTACCGACTCACGGAACCCGAGACAGAGAGAAAAATGAACCAGCAATAGCATGCATCGAAACCAGTCTATTGACGGTTCATGATAATTCACCTATATACGAAACCGCAACAATGATTTTTACCACAGTTATGGGCGCATTAATTCTTCACTTCACTGAAACATGAAAGCATCACAGGCGCGGGAGCCAGGGGTACTAAGGGGGCTGATGATGAATGAAGATGAAACTTACAAGAACTAGTATCCTTCAGAGGTCTCACACCTTGTATATCTCGGTTTTTCCCTAAAGGCTACATCAGGTCAGGTCGGTCACGTGACCTCACCATTATAAGTCAATGGGGAAAAATGAAAACTGCTATTTTTCGCTAGAAACGATCTCAAGCTATCGTAACCACACGGAATCGTGATTTCATGCACTCCTTGCAAGTTTCGATGCTTCACTTTTGCAATGTTGGCCTTGCGTGACGTCATTTATGACGTCACTATGGTCATTAGAGTTTATCGTCAATAACTCCTGATGAAATTGAGCTAGCGAGTTGCGAAAGCCACCAATGGACTTAGGAAGACATGCCAAATCGAATGATATGCGATACATGGTGTGTCAAAAGTGGAAATAGCCGGTGCGCCGTCTGGCAACCCGGCAGCCCGCCGCCATAGGGAAATTCATGCTTTTTGTCGCTTTTTCGCTCCTTATGAGTCACTTGATCTAATTAGAGCTTAACTAGGAACGAGGCGGGTCACTTGGACGCATTCGGGAGCCGAATACGGTGTTTTGGAGCCAATACCTGGGAAACCCTACCCGCCCAATGCGAGTTTTTAAGAGTCTGCATGCCCAAATTAACGTTGAGCGCAGCCGTTTTCGGTCGGTTTTTCGCGACCTTGTGGCGAAATCGCCTTATTTATTCAACCAGGGTGGGTTAATTCGCTTAACTAGGAATGAGGCGCTGAAGAGAATTATTCAAGGAATAGAGCTGTCCAAAAATATTTTTTGTATTGTTTAAACTGTATCCGCCATCGAACGATACCTAAATATTGTTGACCCATCAGAAACATATCCCCTGGAATGCGTTTGGACTTGGCTGGATCTAATATTAGCGAGTATCTGCTAATGCAGTTTCTTGGCTTACACAGTACGCACACAAGCATACATACTTCCTGCCCTTGGTCATTCCTCACTTGAATGAAAATTTTGCTATAATAACTATTCCAAGCAGTTAACAGGTTTAAATGCAGTGCCAAGTCGGAACCGTTCAGCGCCGCCAGTCTCCCAGGCGGCGCGTAACGGGCGCCGCCGGCCGCCGCGCCGCCGCTCTGGCAGGGTGTTTGACTTCATATCTCTGTTGCTAGAAAAGTTGTGAACCGATTTACATGATTCTTGCATGAAAAGATCCGCCATTCAATTCTTAGCAGATAACGAAAATTTGACGTCAATTGCACGATCCGCTGCCCATATTGTGGTACTGCCATCTATTGACAAGGCTGGCGAACTAAAGCCGGGCGGCTATTTCCACTTTTGACACACCATGATGACCTCCTTCGACTAAGTTCGTGTCCTGGGGGGCTCTGACCTGACCATGACTCGAGGTCAACACCTCAAGTTGATCTCAATCAAATAAAAAGTATACAATTCGACGCGCCGGAGCAAGGCAGTGTCCTGATTTTCGTGAATTTGGGTGGAAACCCACACCTAACAGAATCTCTTTGTGACGTCCCGGAAAGCCAAACGACGTCCCTGACAGATAAAAGTCGATAGGTATATCGAACACCAAAAGCAAACTAACAAAAAAGAAATATCACCTCTGTAGCCTAAAAACACGGCTATGCAAAATGACAATAAATATATCCTAAGTCCTCACAAACCCACTCTTACACTCAACTCGCCTTGCTCAACTCCCCTTTCCTGGCCAACTGCCGCAACAGTAAACAACGCGGTTTTATTTTATTTTCGTTTTCTGTGCGTCAGATATGGATAGGTTTTTTCCTTTACCATGTGAAGGTAATGCTGCCATATGAAGGAGAAAAGATGTCGGAATAGAGGGATCTGAGGACGTCGTTTTCCACTTTTCAGTTTTAGTAACTGTGCAGTGTATAGATAAAAATTAATCATGCGAATATATTACTTGGACATTTATCTATAAGCACGCAACATACCTTTTGTATCAAAGTACTGTGACATATTTAATTATTTTTTCCCCTCAGAAGGTCACAGTAACGGGTTAGCGCTGCCTCTTGAACATGCCCTTCAAAAGTAGTTAATTTTGCATATGTTGATAGTGGTTGGGGAAAAAGTTTAATGCTGATCTGTTTGAATTAAAATAAAGTTACCGAATTTCAACAGTATTAATTCAAGTATGTCGTCCTTGGCTTAAAAATACACGCAATGTTGGGGACGTCGATTGACCTTGTTTATTCCCATTTAATCGACGTCGGTACAAAACTGAAAAGTGCACAATGATTTCACATTTTTTCCAGCCAAGAAAAATTCAGCGTACACCTTGGAGTTTTCTTAATTGAATTTCATAACAGAAAGCTATGGAAATTAATTTCCCGAACTGTTTTCCACCTCTTTGTTTGGACGTCTGCTTTTTTACATCAGTCCTCTTGCTCGATATGATATCCCCCTTATGACGTCAATATTTAGTGATAGCCGCTGGCTCTTGGGCTGATTTTTGTTGAAGCATATTTGTTGTTGACTGTTGTGTACGATCATGGACAAGAACCAGACATCCTAGACATCTTCAAAGTGTTGTTTTGGTGTTTGTGGTGAATGCTTGAATTTTGTATTTTACTAGGGGTAAACTGGCATTACTTTGTGTCTACATATGATCATTTGAGGTGCCTTGAGGTGGTATTAATCAATATTGCCAGTGAAAATCGCTAATTTTAAGAGATTTAGGTAAGGGATCTTCAGTGGCTTAGGCTCCGCACCGATATCGACGTCCTTTTGAAATAGCGACGTCCTCGCGGCTTCAATCACACTCTCCGAAAAATCAATTTCAGGACACTGGAGCAAGGCTAACATGATAATGCCAAAATCGCGGCTCGGCGGCCATTTTTGGCGAAGTTATTGGCCTAAAACCGAACTCGTAACTTGGGCCACTTGACCTGACCACAGAGGTCACCAGTTGACCTGAAACATTAAAATCGGCTACAAATCGCTCCGTCTCATATCGGTGCACACGCTCGTTTTTTTTCTCGACGCTCTAGCTCCATCAGAGTCGAAACGGCGAGGGGAGTCGTACCCACCCACCCTCTTCGCCTACCCCGGTATGTATGTAGGAAACCAATAGGTCTGGCGAGTTTTTTTATAATATTTATTTCTCAGTCAAATTCACAAGACACAGTACATGTTCACAACATCACAACACTATGCCACAAACTTCTATATCATCCTGCCCCGCCCCGCATCGCCCCGCGGAATACAAACTCGGCCTCGCTGGGGTGATGCCCCAGGCCGCCGCGCCGGCCGGACCCGCGACCGTAAACTTCATAGGCTTAACTTCATAGGCTTAAGCTTAGCAGCGACCAAAAAGAAATACTTGAAAACCCAATATCAATGCGAGAACTGAGTACCGCAATAAACTCGATGAAAACCGGAAAATCGCCTGGTTCAAACGGTTTTACCGCCAGTTTCTTCAAACACTTCTGGGATCACATTGGTATTTTTCTCTTTCGCACATTCAAAAAAAGTATCGAGGAAGGCTCTTTCCCCATAACTTTTCGAGAATCAATAATTACACTAATCCCAAAGAGCGGGAAGCCTTTTGACTCTATTAAAGGATGGCGCCCCATCTCGTTGTTAAACGTAGATTTTAAAATAATATCATCCGTCATTACTGCAAGGCTAAAAAGCGTCCTAGATGACATAATATCACCTTCACAATCAGCATATATGAAGGGACGCTGCATTGCTGAGAACACCAGGCTCGTATATGATGTCATGCAAAAGCTGCACGACGAAAAAAGATGTCTCGTACTTGCCGCGGATTTTGAGGCAGCTTTTGAAAGTATTTCTTGGAGGTTCCTAAATGAAGCCTTGAAACATTTCAACTTTGGAAAAAGTTTTAGACACTTAATTCGTACTGCTTACTTAAACAAAGATAATTACTCACGTTTAATTTTACACGGCCATCTAGGAGAACAAATACCAATGAACCGCGGCATTCGGCAGGGAGATCCTGCTTCGGGTTATCTATTCAACCTCGCTGTGGAGCCATTAGCAAATCACATAAAAAAATCTTCACTCATTAAAGGAATTAAGATAAATAATGCAGAACTACGCCTTTCACAATATGCGGATGACCTTATCATATTTCTGAGTAATCAATCTCAATCTATTAATAATATAATACCTGCGGTTCAAAAATATTCATCAGTATCTGGGCTTCACCTCAACGTCGATAAAACAAAGTGCCTACAGATCGGCACACCATCAACGCATCCTCAAGAAAACGTTCATACAATTCAATACGTAAACGAATTAAAGATACTTGGCATATCTTTTCAAAATAAAATGGATCAAATAACTTCGAATAACCTTAGACCTAAGCTGTTGGGAATTGAAAAAGATATTCTGCAGTGGAATAGACGTAGCATCACTCTACTTGGAAAAATAACAGTAATTAAGTCACTT